AAAAAAAAAAAAAAAAAAAAAAAAAAAAAACATCATAGTAAAACCAATACCTTCTCAGCTTCGCATCGAAGCTAAAAAACAACAAATTAATTGTAATAAATTTTAGTTTAAATCTTTAATCTTAGGTGGTGTGGCCCTTGCAAATTATTACAACCTCGCATAGAAAGTGTTATTGAAGAACTAAATAGTACAGTAAATCTTGTTAAAGTTGATATTGATGAAAATACAGAAATTGCTATGCAATATGGGGTACGTTATAGATTTAAGGTCTCTATGAATTTACTTATTAAATATTCATTATTTTTTTAGGTTTCTGTGGTGCCTGAATTAGTTGCAATTAAAGATGGTAAAGTTTTAGCCAAGATAATTGGTCTACAAGATGAAGAAAAATTAAGAAGTTTTGTTACTAAATTAGTTGATGAAAATAACCCTAAAAAAGAAACATTATAATTTAATCGTTATACGTAATTAACTTAGTTTAACTTTAACAAATATTTTATATAACTGAAAATTGACTATGAATTACCTTATACTTTTTTATTGTTGATTATTATAACCATTGATAATCTTTAAGTATTATATAAATGCTTAATTATTTCATTATTCATAATAGAATTCATAATATTTAATAGAATAATAATACAGTTCTTGTGCTACAAAAAAATTGTAAAATTAAAACTATGTAACCTAGTAAGAACACTTTATTAGTCAAAAATATGAATACTAAATTAATAAATATGAGAAGTATTTTAATAAATATAAATAAATATTTGTTTTAATTATGATTAAAATAATTAATATCTGTTTACTACAACGATTAGACCTTTAAAACAAAGTTTACAGTATCTACACACAAAAAAAAATCTATAAATTACAACACTTTTTAATTAGAAATCAATGTAGCTTTCACTTTATTGACGATTTTAATAGGTTTTGTAACTTTGATAATGTAAAATAAATAACAAAGCATAGTGTGACAATAATTATTATAATAACTAAAAATACATCAATTAAATAATATTGAAACCATGGCATGCCAACTGCTGCTGTTCGTAAATGTGGAGCACCTTTATGTTTAATAACATATTCTGTCCAATATACTGCTGATTCCAAAGGAGACATTGGTCGATCACGAAATATCTCTGATAATTTATTTGCTTTATTTTTGTAACTAAATAAGAGAATAATATTAATTGATTAATTACCAACCCTTATATAGTAAACAACAATAAAAATTTACATGGGATTAGTTAACATAGCTTTGATTTTGTTAAATATTTCATCTTCTTCTAAATTATTGTAATTCAACATTTCTGCACCACCTGTATCCATCACTGCTTTTATATTTGTCATTTGATCACCAAAAATGGGCATTGCTAAGATAGGTACACCTTCATATACAGCTTCTGTAGTACCCAATAAACCTCCATGTGAAATAAACAGTTTGACATTCGGATGAGCTTAGAATAAAATCAAAATACATTATATTTTAACATTAATATTAAAATCAGATCCCCTAAAATTGATTAAAGAATAATGCACATTTTAAAAATATAATTAGGTAGATTACAGGTAATTCTTTTTAAACTAGCCACTCAATTTCTCTACAAATAATAATTTTTCAATTGGCTTTTATTAGTTACATGTGTAACTCCCACATATTTATTATAAGATATTTGTTATAATCATCCCTTATGTCTTATAGAGGTATTGACTTTATTTTATTTTTTTAATGATAACATACATAATAAACTAGCTTATAAAGTAGAATATGACTGATCGATAACAACTTTTGGACCAGTATTTCAGAAGTTATTATCAATTTAACCTAATGATTAGAGATGAGAAGTGGGTAATACTATTTTTATAACACATTTCTTGGCCTCACTTATTCATCTTTTATGTTTTATATAGGTCTTGACTTTTGCTTTGATTCGATGCAAAGCTGAGAAGGTATTAATTTTATTATGATGTGTTTTTTTTTTTTTGTCTGTTGTCACTTTTCTTAGTTCTCACCGGACCGATTTCTTTTAAAGATACATCAAAAGATCACAAAAGTATCTAGTTGAAGACATTGCTTTTAAAATTGGAAAACATTTTCCTCGTACCATGTAAATGGAGCAAATTCCCCAAAAAAATATGATTCTTATAATCGATGAATTTTTACATTTTTTTCACTTTTTCTTCTTAATTATTTCATTATTCCAAAAACACAAAAATAGCATATTTTTAACTACGCCATTTATACATAGAAGATGTATGTAACATAAGCTTTAATTAAATTTTATATATTTATATATATATATATAAGACTCAATATTTTATTAAGAGCAATGTCTTCAACTAAGTACGATTTGTGATCTTTTAATGTATCTTTGAAAGAAATCGGTCCGGTGAGAGCTGAGAAAAGTGACAACAGACAAAAAAAAAAAACACATAATTGTAAAATAAATACCTTCTCAGCTTCGCATCGAAGCTAATATAATCTAACTAGTAAAATAATTATAATTAGTACAATCTGATTTTACTATCGTTTTTGCGTCAAAAAAAAAAAATTATTATATATCTGTATTGTTACATCTTTACACTCTAGTCATTATATGATAACTTTAATTCATTACATACCTAAAATATCACGCTGGGGCATCCATTTTTTTATCATAACATTAGATGTTATTCCAGGCATATCACCTTCCCATTTCCATAACACCTTTTGTTTTAGTTTACTGAATACGTTCAAAAACATTTGTCTCTTATGAGCTGGAAAAGTTTCCCCGCGAAGTAAACTGCCCATACAGAAGTATATAATACCATGTTCAGCCTCGTCAATGAATTTTCGAATGTCCTACACAAAAAAATTTTATATCGTAAATTAAACTTTATGATAATTATATAAAATATGTTGAATTTAATGAGACAATTACGAACTTCCATTAACGGTTTGGAAGAAGTAATATGCAGTCCTCCTACATCAATAACGCCTTGTGGTAATGGCCTACTTCCCCAAACGGTAAAATGAGTGTTGACAAACAGTAGAGTTGTTTGTAAAATTATTTCACTTAAAGAAAGTGACAACTCGTAGCGTTTAGATGCTATATTTTGAGAAACAACTGTCGAATCCCAATGATATTTAAAAAAAGCAATAGTTCTAAGTAATGTGTTACCTAATCGTTCAAAAAAGTCCATTTTCGTCCCATACGCAGACATCAAAACGGGTATATAAGCTGGATGAGTAGAAACTCCCATACGCTCTGCTGACCAAACAAACATCGGAGATGTAGACCATGCTATGAATGGTGCTTTAAATTTATTGATCAAAGCTAAGTAAAGATCTGTATTGCATGTTTCAGTGACAATTAAGTTATAAGTGTCTTCCGACTGAGCGTATAGCTCACGCATAAAAAAAGAATTTGTATAATTTTCACCATACGCAACTAGCCCAAACATATGTCTGTAACTATCAAAAATTGACGAAGAAAACATATTATCAATAGTTAAGTAATTTTTGTCAAGAAAAAACGTATCAGCAATTGGGATTCGACTGTAAGAAACATTGATAATGTCGGGGAAATGCGTGTATACTGTAACATTATGACCCCTGCGATGGAGTTCAGTCATGAACACATCATAAATACGTTGATGACTACGAGCCTCAATAGGGAAAACGCCTAATATATTTGCGGTAAAAGAACATTTTATGTTCAGTATGAACCAAACAAAAAAATATTGTAAGTAATAAAATGAATACATATTTTCTTAACGCAAGATGAGAACTGATCTTAAGTCATGGTACTAAAATTATTGAAATGGAATTTGAAACAGCATCGATTAGATAAGAATTAGATAGATAAAAAATGTATAATTATAATAAATTACCAAAATCGGTTAAAATTTATATCTAGAATGAGTGATAAAAAAATACTAATCAATTTGTTAGCTTATTAATATTGAACACACTTTAGAAATAAAAATAATTTTAAAATGAAATAAACTCCATAAAAATAATTTGTCTATTAATTTAAAAAAATAAATAATAATTTTAAAAAATATACATGATGATTTATTTATGTAAAGCGCTTTCATAATTTAATTACATAATATAACACAACTTCAAAAATAAAACATTTTTAATTATGCGTTGGTACAAAGAACTTTAATTTCTAAGTAGCAAAGATGCAGTTAACGTTGGAAGTGTCATAAGAAAAATATATTTGTGTAGTTAAAAAATCATTGTAAATAAATTAATAAATTAATTTTAATATTAATAATTCGAATTTTCTGAAAAATGACCAGTCTTTATCTACAAAAGCTTGTTTTAGAGCCCCATGAACAATATTATGAAATATTAAATAAATAATTTTCCAAGTATAAAATTTCGCTTTGCTATTAAAATTGAAACTGCCTAAACAAATACTTAATGCGTTAGTAACGAGTAACATTGTAAGGCTATAAGTCTAATAAACTATTCATAAGCGTAATTACGGGTCGCGTAAGTATACTTATATGACCACTAAAACCTTGTGCTGTCCTTTAAATTACAAAGCGTTCAATGATAAATTTCAACTAATTGTTGTTCGATTATGTAAGTAATTTATCGTATATTTAATTGATAACTCATTATGTGTTTTGTTGATCAGTCAGTAAAAAAAAAAATTCTTTTTGACAGGAAACCACTCAATGCAGATAAGTATATTGTTTGATTAAATTTACATTTACTTATAGCCTGCGTTATCAACAGACTACCTCGTCTTTCATAGAATGTTATTTATAGCCATGTCTGTCCTATAATGATTTATGTATTTATGTACAAACTAAGGTTAAATATTATATGTTAGTTCGTGGTAATACGAAGTTCTTTTGTTATCTAGGACCGCTGTATAACCGTTCGGTGACTTATAAGCATACCATACGTTGCTAGAGATGTATGGCTAACATCGCTAGTTCTGATTGGCTCTCTGGACTGTTTAGACAATTTGTTGTTATAAACGTGTTTTTGAAATGTTTTACTATTATCATACAATTATTTAAATAAGATATTTTAATTAAAAAAAAGGAATTCACAATTGTCAATCAAAGCTACCGATCTTCGCTATACTAAAACAAAGTAAAAGTTTCTAGTACTATATGGTATCCTTATTTGCTACCCTATGTTGTCAGTTGTTGTATATTTGTTTTTCTCGCGTTTGTCACGTTAAAGATTTCAATAATATTTTCATTTTATGATTTACAGTATTTATATTATTTATATTATTCATCATGGATAAGTTTTTAATAAAAGTTCTTAATACTTAAGTATATTCTTTAAATTCAATGATTTTCCTTTAATACTTAAGTTGTATTTGTTAATTTTAAATACTTATAGTAATTATTTATTATTTTTATTAAACCAAATAACCGTATTTCAACATTTAGTATTATGAAAAATTAATTATAATTTTTTCAATGTTATTAGTGTTTTTATTAATTTATTGCTCTAAACGTATATATGGTAATTTTAAATAGAATATAAATTTAATTTTTAAATTTCCATTTATAGCTTGATTGGATAAGTAGCGCGGGTGGAAACAGCTCGTACTGATGTATGTGCACTCCGCCCGCGCTGAAATGGGAAAAGTATGCAGCAAATAGTTGTTAGGTTCGAAGGTGAATTTTTGTGCTTATTTTCATAAGTATGGAATTTAAAACTGATTAAGGGAAAATCAGAAATGCTGATAGCCTCGCAGAAAAATAAAAATAATTTTGCAAAATTTGACTCAAAATACGTGCATGGAACTATTTAATAAAAGTGTTTAAGAAATCAAAACTATCATATATATTTATGACATTTCAATCTACAAGATTTTTTTTAATGAATTTTAATTACATACCACAGGTAATTGTTTTGAAGGTTTTATATGTATTCCACCAACTTCTATTATGGCTGGCACCAAGGGCTTAGTTCCATGTATAAAATGATGAGTATTAACTAAAATTAACGATGTATTCTGTGCAACATTTCCTAGTGAAACATCTATGTTTAGATTTTTTTTGATAATTTCATTATCACTAGATCTAAATAATAATTTATATGATGACATTTGACTAGATATGATAAGTGTGTTTATGAAACGTTCGTAAAAGTTCATTTTTTTGCTAAAACCTCCAAGGACCGCAGGAATAGTAGACATTTCGTAAGATTGTGCAACAACAAATTGACTCCATGGTAATAGACCACTGCTACTTAATAGTATTGTAGGAATTTTGAATTTATGTGCAAATATCAAAGGTAGTTCATTTTTAAAATGTTCGGTAATCAATAAATCATAATTTGTTGAATTTTCTGCTAACATTCGTTTTACATCTTCAACTTTAAACATAACTTCATCTACTTTGCCAGTAGCATGAAATTGCCATAGTAAATATACAATTTTTTCTACAGTATTAAGAGTTCTATTTGAAAATGGTAGTTTATTATTAATCAGTTCTATCGAACCTTTTATAGAAATTTCTGTAATATTTGGATGGTCGAATGAATAATGACTTATAGTTGTTAAATTATGTCCTTCATCCTTAAGTTTTTGTATGTATGGTAAGTACATCATGTGATGGCTAAGACCCCGATGAGGAAACACACATAAAATATTCGCCGTATAAGCCGATGAAAACAGTATAAAAAGGTATATTACCGAAAGAAAAACCATATTTATTACTTTAATGTAGAAATCTACTACATTCATTTGTTTTTAAGTATTAAAATGAATAATAAGCACAAGAAGATAGCTTTTTTAAAAGGTAATTTCAAGATTTAAACAAATTGTTCGTTTAATATAAAGCTTATAAGCTTGATATAAAGTTCATATTAAATCGTTTTTTAAGTTTTAAACAAATAATTTTCTAACAAGCATCATTAACAGTTAAAACATTTTTTTACCATTCGATTAAATTCAAAACCCATGTCATACTTTGAAAAAACGCTAAAATGATTAATTATCCACTTAAAATTAATATTTAATTAAAAATTCCTACGTTAGTAAAAATTCAATTTTTAACTGTATTTGAATATTTGTAATAATAAAGTTCCTTTAAAACAGAAGTTTTTTGATAACTGTCTATCGTTTAATCTTTTGAATTATTTTATTCATATAAAAATTTATGATTTTTTTTAAAGAAATTCTAAATTGTAAAATTAATATTATATATTATTTAAGAAATATTTTCTGCGCACGTCAATTTAATACTAAATAATAAGCGAATAAAATAGGTCCATATTGTACTTGACAAGTAGAAAAATCTTGCAGATAACAATCTTTAAAGAACTTCGGTGTATAACAATATTTTAGAGCTTGCCCGCCGAAAAACTACAACTTAACAATACACATGTTTTTAGTAATGCATTATACCGCTTCAAAATAATTAACTATGTGACAAGATTAGTCTTATTCAAATAAATACAACTGTGTTAAATTTGTATTACAAAGTATTCAAAACACGTTCTTTTTGTTTTACTAGTGATAATGATGTATATTATGACACATGCGCACGCAGTTATTTTAAAGAATTGAGTGATGCGTTCTCTACCTCAAATGTATTTGTCTACTGAGTGGGGAGACGGAATCTTATAAATGTTATAATTGGTACATTAGTCTATTATGTAAACGCAAATCTATATGTATAATCTTAATAAATTTTTTATTTAAATTAGGTTATTTCAAATAATGAGTTGATATGGGATTTTAATAAGAAACTAGGCTTTGCCTAGATGGGGCTCCACTCCAAACGAGGCCCTTACGATTCTCATTCGCCTTCGGTGCGTAAGCCTCTTTGGGCTATCCTCTTAATTAGGCCACCGATTTCGGTAGGAGCAAACGGCTACGCCGGGTACAATAAGTGTATTGCAGCAAAAATATTACATCAGAATCAGCGTAATAAAAATATATTAAAAATTTAATTATTAAAATCAGGAAAATTCATAAAAAGAAAATAGTAAAATGTATTGGTTATAAGGTTAACGTTATTTTTCGTTAAAATTTGATGAATTTCAAACGCTTGTAACAGTTAAAGTTTTGGTTTGACCTTTATCGACTTTATAGATTTTTGGTGCTTCCTCGACACGTATCTCTGTAGTAAAGTTGCGAATCGTAAAAAAATATTTTTCATACTGTAAAGTGTCGCAAGAAATTTGGGCGACGCGCTCTGGCTTTTCAAGCGTATGATAAAAAAAGCTCGTAGTACGGTGAAAAATGAACGAATTAAATTCATTTTTTATGATACATCGGAAATGTCTTTGGGCGGATCTGGTGAAAATTTCAAACCTTAAGTCATGAAATGCTGGCATCAACGAGCGTTTTTCTCGAAAAAAGTTGAGTTGGGTTTTTAAAACGCCCGCGGTCAAGCGTCAAAAATTTTCCGGACTTTCGTGATCATATACTTTAGTTGAAAATCTGAGCACGCTAAGTAATTTCCCCAGAAAAACGTTTTTTCTTTGTTTTATTATATATAATAAGATAATTTACATTTATCTCTTTATACGTAATTAATTTTCCAGACTAATGCAGAAGTGGAAGTTAAAACATTATTGTATGTTCAAATTAATTTTGATAAATTTTGGTTTCTAATATGTACCAAAGAAAGTATATTTGTATAATATTTTTTTTCTATGGTAATGATAATCCTTATCAATAAAACATCTAATAAAACCTTATTAAATTAATAACTATATAAATTTATCTTACCATTGGTAATTCATTAGGAGGTTTAATATGCAGTCCACCAACTTCTATTACTGCTGGTACCAGAGGTTTTACACCGTGAATACTATGGTGAGTGTTTACCAAAATTAAACTAACATTATTAGCAATTTTTTCCAATGAAATATCCATTGCAAATGTTTTTCTTATAAAATCTTCGTCATTTGGTCTAATTATAAAATTATATCCCAATAATTGTATGGTAACAATCACTGTGTTTAATAAACGTTCATATAAGTTCATTTTTTTATTTACTCCGGATTCTAATGTAGAAGGAACAGTAGACATTTCATACGATTGAGCAATTATGGATTGACTCCATGGTAATAAACCACAGCTGCTAAGAAGTATAAAGGGAATATTTTTTTTTTTTGCAAAAATTAATCCTAGTTCATTGCTAAAATGTTCTGTTATAAGTAAATCGTATTGAGTAGAATTGTCTATAAATAGTTCTTTCATACTGCTAGTATTAAATAAAACTTCATTAATTTTTCTTCCTTCAGAAAATTTTTTTATCAAATCAATGTTCATTATTAGCGCATGCGGTATTTGATCTGGAATTGTTTTTTTATTAATCATATTATCCACTGTACCTTTGAGGGAAATTTCGCTAATATTTGGATTGTTTAATGAGTATTGACTAATAATTGTGAGGTTATGCCCATTATTCGAAAGTTCTTGAAAGTAAGAAGAAAATGCCAAAAAGTGACTGAGTGCACGATGAGGACAAATACATAAAATATTGGCCATCATTACAGGAACGATTAATATAAATAAGTTTAAAATTAAAACTATAAATATCATTTTAAATTATTGTAAAATTAAAAACGAAAAAATATTTATTCTTTATGTTATAATTTTTTTTACACGCAAAATTGTATTTAATTTTTTATGTCTTGTTTAATTTTAATACTTATGTTTAAAATCAACTAATCAATTGCTAGAGTTAAACCGAACTAACGACTTTAATGAAGTTTATTATAAACGGTACTGGTGAATTTTAGGATGTAATACGTGAAATTTTAAACATAGTAAATATATATCACGGAATAATCTATACAGTTATATTCTTATCGCTTTGTAGTATTCTCAATACTTGTAAATCTTGATTTTTCAATTTGTCGTTATACAGAGTGTTCAATAAGTAAGAAAACAGGTCAATTGTTACAAACAACAAAAATAATAGAAACCCATTTCCCTTACTTAGTGACCTCTCTATATGAAGTATGATAATAGTTATTATCTAATTTTTTTTAATTTTACATTACTTATTATTACTATTGTTTTTTATTTATTCATTGGATTTTAAAAAAAACTTTATGTACTTTTCATTTTATTTTTAATGATACAAGAAAGTTTACTCTTTATTTTTAATTATAAATGTTATAAGAAAAATACGCTGCATTATAAAATAAAAAAATCACGTAATTGTAGTCAATAAAATAAACTAGAATTTTTTTTAGAATGTTCTACTGAATACTTCATTAATACACAAAAAAAATTTCAGTACTTTCACCAAACTGTTACTTTAACTTATTATAGTAAAATGGGGTTTATAACCCTTTATCTCCTTTAAGTGAAACAACATAATTTTGTTTTTGATTCAATTTGGAACTGTTTCTTTATAATTGTTAATAAACTGCTTTAATTTATGTTTATGATACCATTTTTAACTTCAGAAATAGTCTTTCGAAATTTCTTTGTCCTTCAAATAATTAAAAATATATCATGAATAGCCTAATATCAAAAAAGAAGAAAAAATTTATTTTTAATTATTTTAATTTTAGCATTTCCAAAGTGTCGGTCAAAATTCCGCCTATGAGACATGTTATTCAAAACATTAATTCTTTAATTTATAAAAGTAATAGTATCTCACTTTGTTACATAAAATCAAATATAAAAATACGATGAAAACCTTGATTTTTAAATTTATAATGTTCTAATATTATTAATTTAATTTTAACGTTGAATGAAAGAGGCATACTATTGAAATATATATATATATATATGTAATCATTTTAAAGAAAATAAACAATACTAATATAAAGTCAATCATATAATTCTGATATCATGACATTTTCATTGCTGCAGATCTGAGATATAAAGCATGATTATATTTGATAATGCACTCCGACCTGTATACTACTGTTTCCAAAGAAGGTCAACCAGTAGATTATGAAATCTCTTTGACAAAAGTTTGGCACTCCGTACATATCGGTAATAAATAAAATCATATGTCAGAATTATTTCTAACTTTTACATTTATTTATATAAATACATTTATTTCGTTTACAAGCTTTCAGCTAAAATAAATATTCTTCAAATTAATTAATAAGCATAGCTAGCACTTTAGTATATATTCGTTTTCTTCAATATAACTATAGTTTAATAATTTTGTTGCTCTTGAATACACAATGCCTTTAAAATTGGTCATTTGATAAGCAAATATTGACATGTTTAAAACCGTAACGCTTTCGTAAATAGCCTCAGTAGTGTTCAACATACCTCCATGTGAAATAAATAGTTTAACATTAAGATGTGCTAAAATAATAATATTTCTCATTGATAAAGTTAACTTTTTAGTAATTATGCTACAAAAAATCGTTAATTTTGATCTAATATCACTTTATACATATTATTTTTTTTTAGATAATAGTATGTAATTTTTCACTTAATATTTTAATTTCTATTCAAAGCTGAGAAGGTATTAATTTATTGTGTTTTTTTATGTGTGTGTCTGTCACCAATTTTTCTCAGCTTTCATCAAAATAAATTTTTCAGTAATACGTTAGAAGATCACAAATTGTATCTAATTGAAAATATTACCCTTAAAACTTAAATATTTTCCTTCGTTCCTGTAAATAGAAGAAATCCTCCAAAAATGAATGATTTTTGAAATCGATAAATTCGACTTTTTAAACTGTCGTAACATTTTGAAAAATCAAAATAATTTAATTTTTGTTAATACCTTAGGTATTTTCCTTTTATTTGGTTTTTTTTTTTTTGAAAATCTTATATCTTATCCTTTACCTGCCTAAAAAGGGGATTAAAAACAGCACACATTTCACGAAAAGTTAAATTTTTCAACTTAATTTTTTTAAATGTTTCGGAATTACTTCGAAGTTTAAACATATGTTAAATTAAAGCTTATGTTACTTACTATAAATTAAAAAAAAAAGTTGTCCAGCTATTTGTCTTCAATATGTAAAGGGCCTCCGATGCTAAACAAAAAATGTTGTTGTTTAAAAAATCATCGTTTTTGTGTTGTTTTAAATTTCTACTTAAGTTAATTATTTATGCCTATATTTTAGGTCAAACAATATAGACATATATGAAAAGGGGGTAAGTGCTCATATTTATACCCCCTCATTTTACAAAAAAAAAGATTTTAATGTTAGTTTTAAATATTTCCAGGGAAAATATTCAATATCAACCCAATAAGTATATTAAAAATAAGGGCCTGTCCTTTTCAAAAAGGTATTAGCTACCAGATAAATTTCAATTTCATAACTATCTAACTAAATTATCTACAGATTTGCAAGAACTATAGTGTAGTAAATATGTTGGTAATACACATTTCATAGTTTAAACCACAATTAAAATATTGTTAATAACACTTTTTTAATGAATACTGTGTACGTAACGGATAGATGTCGGTTATACCGTGTAAATATGTTTCTAAAAAAAAAAAAGTGATAAAAAAGGCACTAATCTACCTGCCTTATATATACTTTAAATTGAAAAATTCATGTCTCTATAACTTATTTTCTTGTACGTATATAAATATTTGAATATTTATTTATTAAGAATACGCAATGATTGCCAGATCATTGTCGTCTAATTAAATTGTTACATTACTATTATTTACAATATTTATATTATTTTTAAATAGAATGGACATTTTTCAAATGTTTATTTTATGTATGATATTTTTCAATAACTTTCCAATATTATTCAATATCCACATTAGTATGGCGTATATAGGGGTGCTGATAATAAGATAGCTCCATTTGTCGGAGAACAAAAACACGTTAAAAATATAAGATATATTATTTTAGTTATAAGAGTTATGCTAATTAGGATGTACTGCTATATGTATTTGTTTTTGAGAAATAATAAATTCGTCATCTTACCTCGTATGACTTTATATCAATGTTTTGTAATAACCTGAGGGTGAATTAAATTGTTTAACTAACATATAATTTTTAAGACCCGAGGACTGTTTATTTAATTTTTTAATTTTATAATTTTTTGTAATACATTACAGCTGTAATATATTTAAAAAAACAATCTAGAGTGTCGTTTTAATCTTAATATGTATATAATGAACTTAAGAAAATACATTTTTTTCAGAAACCTAGCCAATATTGTCGTCGAAACTTAGGTTTGTTGTATATTTATTTATTTGTTTTTGTTAATTAGTTAAAATTTTATTTATCTTGAATAATTATAAATGGTAAACAATTAATATTTGTTGGGAGTCCCCATTTCAAATAAGCAATGTACAAATGTACCAAATGTTTTTCCATAGATATGGCAATGATTACAAAGTATTATTTTATTGTTATTATCAAATAAAAAATTGCCCAACAAAAAATACATTTATTGTGGCAATACTATAAAATGATTTAAAACATATGAAGATGAAATATTTTATGTTAATAGAGGAATATTTGTGTGTATTTTAAAGTTTTAAAAAAATCCAATATATGCCATTAATGTCGAACATTTAAACTTAAATAGTAAAACAATGTATTACTTTTAAATAATATTTCCATTTTTTTAAAATTCATATCTGAAAAATTTATTTGATTGACGGTATTTTTCGCAGGTTATCTTGTCATACTGAAATACGTTACATGACTTCGATGATGTCTAGTGCGTGTAGGTGGGGCGGCGCTACAGACTTGCGTCTACTCACTTGATTTCTGCTACTCGGTATCCTCGACCTGATGGTGTGATTACTGTAAATTATTTTGTGTATCACGTTCGCACCTGTTTGATAAAATTTGGTGTGAATTTTTAATTTTTAAGCATTACACTATTGTAGCCAGCTGACTTAATCGCTTATCGTTTTGGTCCTATTGAGTGAAATATTATTAATACAAACTTTTAAATTAAAATATTGAATTGTATATAAGTTTTATTGTATCGGTCGAATGTTGCTGACACGAATACAGAAAACCGAGATAAGAGTACCTCTTCTGTTAACTAAATAAATTGTTTGTTTTATAACATTTGGAAGAAATTACAAATACATTGAAGGTGAATATTATACATTCTGACGATAAAGTTATAGACATTTGCTCTAAGTTTTCATGAATTCAGATTTAATTAAGAAGTTCATTGAATATGTTGCAATGATAAAATATCCTTCTTAAATAACATAAATAACAATTTGAAATTTAATATATCGCATTTAATTACTTTTTTGAGAATTTATATTATTTAAAATAAATTTTATTAATATGTTGAATGACTTCAAATATAGTTGTAATTTATTTATAAACATTAGAACATAGTTTTAAAGTTGTATTATGAAAAATTAATAGTAATTATATTTTATAATCATTGTAGTTTATACAGGAAAAATATAACTATTTAAACCAGATAATAATTCCAAAATGAATAGCTCATCTGACACTGGGTATGTTAATTTAATAAAAGTTTTTTTTTAAATAAAATTATAAAATTATATTTCTTTTACAGGTTTAATCCAGCATTTAATATTGCTACAATTAAACAAGTATTCAATGAAGCAGTTGAAAAAGGTAATGTAAATATTTTTTTTTAATATATAAAATTTTCTTTGAAATATTTTGTTTTATAGTTCGAATGCCTACACCAATGAGACTTAGAGATCTTATACGACAAATAAGAGCAGCACGTACAGCAGCTGAAGAAAGAGCTGTTATAAATAAAGAATGTGCTGATATTCGAACATCATTTAGAGATGAAGACAGTGTTTGGAGATGTAGAAATATTGCTAAATTGCTGTATATACATATGCTTGGGTTAGTTGTAATATTTATTTTTTTTTTTTCATAAATTTAAAGTATACAAAAAAAATTTTAATTGAAGCAAATTTTTTTTTATTCATATCATAGATACATTTCTAAACATATTAGTATAATATATAATAACTTATTAATTATTCTTTAAGAATAATTTGCTGTTATGATCTATTATTATTATAACATAAGTAATTAATGGTATATCATAGTTAAGTTTAAATGTTTATCGCAGATATCCAGCTCACTTTGGACAATTAGAATGTTTAAAGTTAATAGCATCACCACGATTTACTGATAAACGTATTGGTTATTTGGGTGCTATGTTATTGTTAGATGAACGACAAGATGTGCATCTGTTAATCACTAACTGTTTAAAAAAGTAATGATACTAAATTATTTTCTTTGTAGAACTATTTTTTTTAAATTGTTTTTTTTTTTTTGTTTAGCGACTTGAATAGTTGTACTCAATTTGTTGTTGGACTAGCATTATGTACCTTAGGTGCAATTGCTTCTCCTGAAATGGCTAGAGATTTAGCGACTGAAGTTGAGCGTCTCATGAAATCACCTAACACATATATTAGAAAAAAGGCAGCACTATGTGCTTACCGAATTGTACTTAAAGTACCGGAATTGATGGAAATATTTTTACCTGCAACCCGTTCTATGCTTTCAGAAAAAAATCATGGAGTACTAATTACTGGTGTTACTTTAATTACAGAAATGTGTGAAAGAAGTATTGATACTTTGCAACATTTTAAAAAGGTTCAAATTTGAATAATATATTGACTGTGTAAAGCTTTATAGAATATAAATTAGTTTAAGGTTAATTTTGATTGCCTCGTGGCCTGGGCTGGATTTAGGACTAGGCTAACTAGGCTGTAGCCTAAGGGTGCTACAACTTGAAAGGGCATTGCGGCCGGCAAAACTCTTGATTTTTTTTTTAGATATAATTCCTTTCTGTGAATTTAATTTTCCATCTACTAGAATTAATGTAGTTATTTTGATAAATTAGTTGTTCGCTGTTGCAAAATTATAAAAATAGCACAAAATATATTCTACAATAGATATATATATATATATAATGTGATTGGGCAGGGTAGCTATAGCACGACAGTATACATTTTTTAAAATAATAATTGACGACGGCGGTCGTATAAATTGTGTCGAGCAACCAAATCAAAGAAACACTAAACGTATTATTAAATAATGTTTCTTATTTTGTATAATGGTGCACATTTTTGTTGTATACATTAATAAGTTGACAATTGTATTTACTAAATTAACCGTTTATTAACAGAATAAAAATATAATTATTATTTTTTATTATTATTCATTAGTTATAATTTATGCACAATTGATTTTTTTATCATCATAATTTAAACTACAAAATTTTTTTATGTTGACTTTTAAATACTTTTAAAGTAACTATACATTATACATTAAAAAATACAAATTTTTAAGTAAATTGGGAGGGGGTGATCAGCTCAGCTCTCATTCTATCTGTGTTTTAAGAAGTGGGCGTTTGTTCCTTATTAGCCTAAGGGCGCTTTTTGGGTAAATCGGGCCCTGCTCATGGCTTTAAATTTAATAACTTGGGGAATATTGTTTGGTTTTATATTTTATAACTCAAGTAGTTCACCTTTCTAAAGTTAATAGCACTTATTTTTAATTACTGATAGGTCTCCATTTATTAATTTATTGATTTTTTTAATCAAATGTTATTTCATAATTAAATTAATTTTTATTTATTTATTCATCTATTTTTCTTTAATGACTTTCGTGAATGATATTGCTTATGGCTGAAAGAATGGTTTAAACGGTTATCTATTCGAGTTTCTTATTATTGATTACAAATAATGGATTTCTGAACTAGCAGCACTAGAAGTTCAGGGGTTAAAATTATACATGTAGCATAGAAATATTTGACATGTTTCTCGTTTTGTACTAAAATCATGAAAATTACAAAAAAAAAATCTAGAAAATAATTTTTATGTTGATAATTTTTATATATATCATATAATCAATTTTCAAAATAATATGTTGGCTTATTTCATGGATGAACATTAATATTTATTTTATATTACATTATTTTTTAATATGTCACAATTGAATGAAATTTTGCCATTATCATTCATTTTCTAGTAATCGTTCTTATATTATTACATATAATAAAAATAAATATTTATGGCTTTAAGTTAAATATTTTTAATATAATATTAATTTTAAACTTATATTTATATTTTTAAATACTCTAAAAAACAAATAATTCTTTAGATTAAAATTTGAAAAAACATTTAATTTATCAAATTCTTTGTTAAAATAAAGATTTTATCTCATTAAAATGAGTTTAATGTTTGTTAATAATTTTTTTTAGTCATATTATTTTATAGTTAGCAAACTATATTAAGTAGTTCATTTGAAATTATCAACACAATGTAATGGCATTCATGTAAAACTCTCAAGTTGATATTATCTCAAAAATATAATATTGTATCTAGTAAGAATAATTCAATGACAATTTATGAAATTTTTATCAATTTTATTGTATGTTAATTAAATTTGATTTTTAGTAATACTTATTTTTTAAAGAAAGGTTCCTTTTTAAAACCAAACATTTTTAAATGTATCATAAAACACGGAATAAAAATCTTTTATATTAAAAATAACCACATTTTATTATGTTTATTTAAAGAAAATCATTATTTTAGCGGATGTGTTAGAATATAATTTTTATACCAAAATAATTTCTTCTATTAAAATTTATGTTAAACTCGGTAATTTAAGTGTTAGATTAATAGTCAGCAACACAATAAAATACTCATAATAATAGATTAATAACAATAAAACTAGTAACTATACATCAATTACTTTTAGCAACAAGTATTCATTAATTTTAAACTTAATTCAGCAAATAAATATTGTTTTATGCATATATGTTATTTTAAAATTTGGTGGTAAATTAGTTCTTTGTATATTAATATTCTAATACTTGTATTTTTCATTGAAGTATACAGTAGTTTACATTGTTTCGAAGTTTAGCTAAATATATGTAAAAAATATTCAATATCCCTATGCTGTACGTGTAATTTTAATCCCAAAAATTATGGATTTACCTATTACTGCTGTTGGTTAACAAATCTACAATTTGTGACTGTATGTTAATGTAGGACAAGTATCATCTTGTGTATGTAAAGGTACCACAGACCTTTCTATCAGAGCACAATGTTATTTTGTTTGAGCTAAGTAGCCACCTCTAAAAGTACAATATAAGTAAAGTTAATTATATGGTTTCAGGTTGTACCAAATCTAGTGAGAATTTTAAAGAATTTGATACTAGCTGGATATTCACCAGAACATGATGTTTCAGGAGTTAGTGATCCGTTTTTACAAGTAAGGCTTCGTAATAATTAAAATAATAAAATAATTACTATTTTTTAGATACTTTATATATTAAAATACATTTTTAGGTAAAAATATTAAGGTTATTAAAAATACTTGGTCGTAGAGATTCAGAAGCATCTGAAACTATGAATGATGTTTTAGCACAAGTTGCAACTACCACTGAAACAAATAAAAATGTTGGTAATACTATTTTATATGAAACTGTATTATCAATTATGGATATTAAATCAGAATCTGGTCTGAGAGTTCTTGCAATTAATATTTTGGGTAGATTTTTATTAAACACAGATAAAAATATACGTTATGTAGCTTTGAATACATTATTGAAGACTATTCACTTAGACATGACAGCTGTCCAAAGGCATAGAACTACTATAATAGAATGCCTTAGAGTAAGTTAATATTATATTTAAATTCTTAGTTTTTTATAATTTTTATATTGTTTTTTTTTTTATAGCAAGATCCTGATGTATCAATACGGCGACGTGCTTTAGAATTAAGTATTGCATTAATTAACTCACACAATGTATTAACAATGACAAAAGAGTTACTAGCTTTTTTGGAATCTTGTGAACCAGAATTCAAAGCTCAGTGTTCTTCTAGCATAGTTTTGGCAGCTGAAAAATTTGCTCCAAATACCAGATGGCATTTAGATACTTTAATAAAAGTTCTAGTTGCTGTAAGTAAAAATATCAAAATTAAAATTTTAATGAAGTCTAATAATTTATTGTTCATATTATTTAAGGCTGGTAATTATGTGAGAGATGATGTTGTATCAAGTACCATTCAACTAGTATCTGAATCTGGTGCTCAACATGGAGGATATATGGCTTCTAAATTATGGATAGAATTAGAAAAAGATACTAGTGATAAACAGCCATTAATTCAAGTATCAACGTGGACTATTGGCGAATTTGGTGATATGCTACTGCAACAATCTGAAGATCAAATTGTAAAAGTAAGTTTTTATAATTTGATTTTATATATAGAGTGTTCAATAAGTAAAGAAACGGGTTTCTATTGTTTTCATTGTTTGTTACAATTTACTTGTTTCCTTACTTTTAGGACGCTGTATGTATGTAGCTATTTTTTTTTAAGAGAACATATTTAATTTTAAAATAATACTTGCGGTAATGTTTTACTTTTAAACAGGATATTCTTTGTTAAAAATGTATGTTAGCAACTGAATAACTAAAAAAAAATTGATTTTTAAATTTAATTTCAATAATTTATAAAATAGCTGTATTTAATAATAAGTTTAAACAATTTTTGATTTTCAATTTTTCATCATCCACATCTCTCAAAGTAAAAAAAAAAGTGTATTTGATTATTTTTAATAAAATAATCAAATACAGTGTAATATAATTTTGAATAAATGTTTTACAAATTAAATTATTACAATTTTCAGGTAACTGAAGATGATCTATTAAGAGTATACCATAAATTGATGTGGAGTCCTCAAAATAACATTGTAACAAAACAATACACTTTAAATTCCCTTATGAAACTTAGTACTCGCATTAAAGTTAATATAGAGTGAGTATGATAGCTTTAATATTTATTAAAATATATAGAATTGATAGCCATAGTTTTTATTTATTTTTTTATAATTATTTTAATAATAATTTATTAGTAAAATTCATGAAATGGTGGCCTCGTTCACAACTCACATGCACACTGACCTACAACAACGTGGTATCGAGTACAATCAGCTTTTTAATAGATACGATCAGATGCGTGATGGATTATTAGAAAGAATGCCTGCTATGGAATCTAATAAAACTCAACAATCACAATGGAATGAAACTAATGAAGATATATCATCTCCAAATGACTTGATTAGTACAGAAGTTACTAATACTGAAACAAATGATTCAGTAAGAGTAAATTATCAAAATAGAATTACTTTTAATAATTCATAATAATTTGTTGTTATTTTAGAATGCTCTACTAGTATTGTTAGGAGGTGAAAATGGTGATTCAGATTTAACACCAAATCAAAATTCTATAGTTAAGTCTGATACACAAGATTTGTTGGATCTTCTAGGTAAGTTATATTGATTATTTTTACTTATTGTAAATTTCATTGTAACCATAACTAAATAACTTAGTAGCTTATATTTAAAAGCTGATATGTCACAAAAATTAATTTTCGAGATGTTTTAAGATTAAAATAGAGATGAATTACTTTAATTGAATTTCTTACTAAAGAAAAATAAAATTCAAAGTTATTTTTATATTTGTTATTGCAATTGAAACAAAATTGTCAATGTTATATTTATAGGTGGATTAGATTTAAGTAATCAACCAATGCAACCTCTAAACAATCTTGTGTTAGATAATACAACAAATGGGACAAATATAAATAATACAAATAACTTATTGGATTCATTAAGCTTAGGTATAATTTTTTATTTTCTGTGTTATACATAGTATGTTAAATTATGACCTTTTAAACTCGTATATTTTTATTAAAATAAAATGATCTTTTTTTTTTTCAGACGACCATCCTGTTATTAATAATATTATAAAAAAACCAGGAACTGTGACTGCCTATAACCAAAATGATTTAATGATAACAATAACAGTTGAAAGAGACCCCATGAATCCAGAGACTAACACTCTAAATATGACTGCTTACAATAATGGACAATTTACTATTAATGAGTTCCTATTTCAAGCAGCTGTTCCAAAGGTACTATTAATTATTTAATGCTATTTATTTAATCATTGTAATAATATATCTTCTCTTTAGACATTCCAATTACAAATGTTACCTCCATCTGGAAATTTTATAGAACCCGGTTCATTTTTAACACAAGTTATGAGAGTATCAAATAATTCAAAGGTATATTTTAGTTAAATTATTATACTATTCTCATTTTTGTGTATGTATAATTATGAACATTATAAAATTTAAGAATGCTATATTACTAATAATAATACTACAAAGAATATTAAAAATATTCATTGTATGAATTAAATTTAATACTTCTAATATCATTCATATTTATTTAATTGATAAAATTGATTAAATTAATGAATTAAGTAAATGTTTTTTACAATTAAATTACTTTTTCATCCTGCCTTATAAAGCTTAAATTATTACTAGTTTATATTAATAACTGTGGTTCGATTGAAAATTGAAAAGTTGAAAAGATAATAAAAAGTAATGAAAAAAAAATTAAGACCTAATTGTTATGAAGAAATTATGTAAAGAATATGACCCAAAATTTGAATATTTAATCTATTTTTAAAAACGTTTATTAGACCCAAATAGTAAAAATAAAATTTTTAGTTAACTTTTAAATAATTTCTTCTTGGCTTTGTATTTAGTTTTTAATTTTTATTTTCCCTGTGTTTTTGTCCTACGCCCTGCAAAAGCTATGGCTATCATTAATAATATTTAAAGTTTCTTAAAATCTAATGTTTCAATTAAATTTATAGAAAAGTACTCTAAATAATAATTATATTATTTTTTTGCTATAGAGTCAGTTAAGAATGAGAATACGACTGTCTTATAATTCTAATGGTATGCCCATTCAAGATCAAACTGAAGTAAATAATTTCCCATCACCACCTGAGTTACCAGGAACATCACCATTAGATTTATGGTCTGAAAGTCAATGACAAAAAGTCCTTGTAGCCATTGGCTAATGCAAGTTCAAATCTTTTAGATTGTTTGTGTGTTCTCAAAACGTGATAAATATTAAGTTTTTGTCAATTATTTGAGAAAATGATGTTAACCTGCCGTTGTATTTCATTATAAATAGATGGTTGTTTTTTAAAGTAATATAAATAGTACATAAAATTGGATATTTTATAATTTTTATTTTACCATTTACATTGTACTTATTATTGCTGAAGTAACTGTTGTATTAGCTCACAGTATTAAGAAAACATTTTTTTTGTATATATTAATGCCCTATTACAATTTTATAATTACCCATTGAATATTACTTATAATTGTGATAAATTTTAAATCTTAACAATATATTTCCTTACTATCGGTTGTTAATCAAAATCCGGTTGTGAAATTTTATTTATACAAGAGCTTAACACTCAAAAATTTGAGTACAAATTGGCTTTATTTTAATTATTACAACATCAAAATGTTAATTTTGTTCATTTATCTACATTTCTTATTGTATCAATTTATTTGTGCACTCCAAGTATTTAAGATGTATTTATTGTCATTATTATTATTTTTATGTAAAAATTACATAATTGAAGTTTATATTATATGTATTATTTAATAGTAATTTGTTAAAGAAATGTTTATTTTATTGTTAATTAAATAAATTATTATTGTGTATCATTATTATCATTATACTAATTAAACGATGTATTGCTTTATATATTCTGTGATTTGAATATTAAGGACTAAATTATATTGTTATATGAAATTTATTCATTAAAATGAGAATAATGAAAAATTAACAATTCTGAATATTTATTAGTTGACTTATATTTCAATAAATGTATAAACATCAAATCTATATTAATAAACATATAATTCAAAAGCTAATACCTAAAATAAATATTAGATAATCTAATTTTATAACTAATTAGTGTACCAAACTAAAAATTTGAATCTGAGATAAGTAATGAATTATAAATTGTTTTTTGGACAATCGTAGTTAATACTAAAAAAATTAATTTCTAATCCAAGCTTTCATAAACAAACTTATTAAAACAAGCTCCATAATACTTACTACAAAATATATAACCATCATAAAATTCCAAAATATTCTTATGTGTTTTTATGATTGGATAATCAATAAACAACTATTATTTGAGAAAAAAAATTCTAATGCAGCATGACAAAGTGATAAAAATATATTTAGTATAACTAGATTATTAATACATAAGTAAAAAAAAACACATTTAAACCCCTTACAGGAACACATGTCATTACTTGATTATTTGTACTTTTTTTGAATCATATAACTTATAAAATTACTAGTAAAGTATTATATTTTATGGAAGTTGCATTTTTTTCGCCAAAAAACTGCTATAAAGCTAAAACGTAAGAACTTAATTTTTAAATTATAGAAACTTTTAATGACAATATGTATATTAAATATAAAAATCAAAATCAATAGTTTTCCATTATTACCGATATTTAAACTTTTTAATTTATGGCTTCAATTCATTGATCCTGACACAGTAACAAATTTTTATTAAATTCCAGTCAGTAGTACAGGAGCTTTGAGATCCGTACATGTTTATACGGCTTACGTCGCCAGGAACGCCAAAATGTGTGTCGTTAATTTTTTTTACAGTGACTGAAAATTTACCATGTCCAGGCAATGTTTCTAAAACCACTAAATATTCACTCGGTCGATTCACCTTATGTCTAATTGATATCAGACTATGGAGCTTTAATTTCGAACACATAAAACCTTTCTTAATGTTCATTTTATATTTAATAGTGCGTGCGTTCAATTCAGTCACAACATGTTGACTAATGGTCATGGAGACGGAGCTATTATTGTCAAGCTCTTCATAAGCATCACAAGTACACCAATGCGATTCGATACCAGCTAGTTCGCAGGTCCTATTAACGCTTACTGGACGTAAAAGACTATGGCACGTGATACAGCCAATGGCCGTTAACGGTTCATCTTCGGACAAAAAATTTTTTAAAGTAAGATGTAAATCGAATGGCGATGTCAATCGATTTTTATTGACTAGAAAATTTTGACGTCTTTCTGGATATTTAGCTGTGTACCCAGGAGGTAGTCGCATATACAAAGCCGGCATTCGCTCCTCAAGCCACCCGACGTAAGTTTCCAATATTTCACCGAATCGCATACCATGATCACTTAATAAAAAAGTCACTGCGTTGTTCAGCTGATTACGAGTCAACAGTTTTGTCAACATTTCGGCCGTTTTCTGGTCCATTGATGACGGTGCATTGACATCATTGTGACTGAATGTGTTAAGCCAAAAAACGGCAAAATACCCATGATCCTTGTGCAGACTGACAAAATCCTCAATGTAATGGTATATATGTTCAGCGATGGGAGTAGATCCCACGCAAAAATTCATAGCGTTGAATTTAGTTATCGGAAGTAGTTTTTCAGAAGCTACCATAAATGGCCTCAAGTAATAATCAGTGGGTGCGTTCCGAAAACCATATTTATTATAATTATAAGTTGACATACCGGATTGGTCTTCTACGTAAGTTGTAACATAACCTATTGAAAATTTTAATTTTTCAGTTTAATATTGTAAAATTTATTCACAAATTAGTACACCACTTTTTACTTAATTATGGAATTTTTAACTTAATCATTGGTGCATTTTAAAATTTTAGGATCTAAAATTTTTAAAAATCTAGAAATAATTCAAATTTTTCAAAAATTATTATTTTTTTATTATATTATAAAAATAAAATATTTATCAACACTTCTTATTTGAAAAAATTTAATTTATCATTATTTATAAGAAAGAGATGTTGAACTATTAAAATACTCCCTTCTTATACATAACTATAATATCCACGAGCAAAGATTTTTAATAAATTGACAAAAATATTAAATAGTATAATAAAACATTTTTAAGGAGAAAATACATTAAATGTTAAATTTTTTTTATTAGTGATATGCCGTAATATTTTTCATCAAAATGAAGTAATAAGCAATATAAAGTCCACAATATGGTTAAGTAAGAAAATTTCCTGACCATGACCCCTATTAAAAAAATTTAGTTATGCCTATGCTTATGACAAATTTAAGAAATCTAAAAAAATACTAATACATTTACCTGATTCTTTAAAATTTTTCCAAAGAAATGGACACTGATCCATTTCGATTTTGGGAGACTTCCAGCATGTTTTAATCATTTGTTCAACAAACATACCAGATAAAATAGGTATAACATTTGGAAATGTATTATCTGCCACTTTAGTGTATCCCTCAAGAGATAAAAATCCATTGTTTTCAAGTACTTCATAGGTTTTAGGCATAGATCGTATAAGATTCAGTCGGGAAAGAGAATCGATTGCGATGATTAATACACTGGGTTTACTTGTACCATTCAAATTTGAAAATCGGTTCAGTTGTTTGTCAATGACCATTGCATGAATATTCCTACGAGTGGTTGATTTAGAAGGATTTTTCAATGAGCGTATTTTGCAATTGACTACCATAAATTCAACTGTCTTTGGAATAATCTCAGAGTTCTTAATTGGATGACAAGAAGGCTCTATTCTATAAATAAAGAATAACTAGTCATATTTATATTATTATTGAGTATTAATCAATTATTAATAAATAAAGGAGCTTAACTCCAATTCAATAAAAACCAATATTATTAATTTTAAATTTGGTAAGTGAAAAACCCAATAATTTTTACAAAGCTATAATATTATTAATTTTGAAACTCACGTGTAACGATCATCATCATTGAATGATCGTTTGCTTTTTAAATATTTTCTGTGTATTGATGAATAGCAACAAGATATATTTAAATCAGCTTTGTTTTGGTAAAACTTGTTAATTTTAAGGGTATACGTCCATGATTTAACATCAAGAATTACAGAAGTTACAGATGGAAGGGAAGAGCATTTTGGAGATTTTTCCTTTTTCACGAATTTTTTAACTGAATCGTCGAAAGCACTGACATTAGGAATGCGGCAATTGTCATCCCACACAGTGAAACCATTTTTGAAAGCTTTTTCATCGAGTATTACAGTTTCTAAAAAAACTTTATAGTAAAACATTTAGGTAAAGTTTGGAAACAAGAACGTATTTACGATTTTTTAATGCAACCGATGAATTTTCTAATTGACGACAATCGTAATCGTCTTTCGTTTCATTGCCCATACAATAAAACATAAATAATGTCAAAAATAATATAAACGTCATAGTTTTAATTACATCCCTGGTATTTTTCTGTGTGCATTCTTTTTCAGCCATAACTAATCATTTGTAATGAGAATGATTTAAGTCCTGTAAAAATATTATATTATATTTTACAAAACTGAGCAAGTTAGCACATTTTTTAACTGATTAGGGTTAATTTAAAAAGTAGTATATTAAGTCAAATTAAAAGCTAACTTATGTATATTTCTTAACTTGGATAAGTTAGAAGTAACTAGAAAATAAATTTAACTTTATTTTTACATTTTTGTAATGTACTTAAATTTAACACATTATTCAAATTAAAAACGTAGTTGATTAAATTTAAAAGTTAAACCCATCAAAAAAGAAACGAGTTAAAAAACTAACCAACTAACTAAATAAATTAACGCTTTAACTTCATTTTAGCTTTTTAATGTTCAACCTTATTTAGTTAAAATAACAGTTAAGCTAAATTCAATATTTCATAAAAAAATGTACGTCTTTATACGTTGCATACGTGGTTTAATTAAAAAAAAAAAACGGTAGCACAGTGGGGTCGAGGCACAGTGTGGACGAGGCATAGATGGGACAAGTATAGATGATATCTGACAGTGATTAAAATCACTATCATAAGAAACGCTTCGATGCAAATCTGTAGATAGTGTTTCCTTTAGAGAAATTGGTGAAATATTTTAAAAGCAACATGAACTCTTATTTCTTTAATTATATCCTGATTAGTAGTTCTTTGATTTTAAAATATAATATATGAATAAATACTAATTATAGTTTTTAAATTTAGTATGAAATTGTGAGGCCAGCTATGATGTATGGTTCATAGTGTTGGGCGGTTGATAAGAAAGTAGAGCAGAGAATAAGTGTAGCAGAGATGAGAATGCTTAGTTGGATGAGTGGAGTGACTAGAGAAGATAGGATAAGGAACGAGCATATAAGAGGAAGTATAGGTGTTGCGTCAATCGTGGATAAGATGACAGAAAATAGACTTAGATTGTTTAGTCATGGTATGAGGAAAGAAGAATCGAAAGCTGTAAGAACAGTTATAGAAATGAATGTTGAAGGAAGAAGAGATAGAGGAAGACCAAAAAAGAGATGGAGGGATGCTATTGAATGCGATTTGAGGACAGCTGATGTGAGCGTAGAAGATGTGGGAGATCGTGTCAAGTGGAAGCTTAGGATAAGGGTGACCGACCCCAAAAAGTTGGGATTAAGGCAAAGAAAAAGAAAAATATTACCAGAAATTCCGGTGGCAATTAACATAATATGATTGTTGTTTCAGAATGTACAATTTAGCGTTTAGTTGGGTTTAAATAATATAGCGTCAAATCAATTACCTACTCTATCGGTTGTATCTCAATATACACTACACTTTAATGATACAATAAATAAATAAACTCACACATACACACATATGCATTTATAACATTGTGTCTAATGTAAGTATAACATGATAAAAAGTAACCGTAAAATGAAAAAAATGGAATATAAATTTTATTACTCATATTAAATGTAATGTAACTCGAAAAATATTTGTTTAAATGAAAAAATATAAGATTATATTTTTATTTATAATTGTCTTTTAAACAACTTTTGTGCGAAACTTTTTTTTGTAAGTTAAATATTTTTTTTTGAGAAAATTAAGAAAGCTCATATTTTTGAACTTTTGCGAGGATTTAAAAAAAAAGCTCAATTCCAATCTTGAGGACTATTAGTATGTCATTATACATATTTTAATTCAACTTTTAAAAAAACAAAATTTTTTCCGCAATTTTTCCTTTGTTGACTGGCCTAGATGTCAATTTTAAACTTGTAATTGAGCTAAAAGTTATGGTAATATATTCAATTTATTTTACTATAAACTTTCATAAATCTTTATCAAAAATTTTTCATCAACTTTAAAGAACCAAAAAAATAGGTTAAAATTGAAAATTTGGACTGATTATTTTTAACATATTAAAAATCAAATCAGTAATAATTTGAAAACAAATTTTTTTTTCTTTTAATTATTATTTTATATATATAATTAGTAATAATATAAAAAATTAGAAGTGATAGAAATAGTCTACTTGCAGATTTGAAAACAACGCGAAAAGTTGATTTAGAAAAGTATATTTTTGCTTCTGATGAAAGTTCCTTGTAGTCCAGTGCATTTTTTTATAGTAACAAACAGTTTTTATTGAAAATTATTGTATCAAGCCCTTTAAATTTTTATACACGTAAAAGTAAAGCAAAATATAACTTCTTTATTATTTTTATAATTTCTCCGTTTAAATTACAATATTAAATATCAATTTCATACTAAATTTAATAATTATAATTAGTATATATTCAAATATTATATTTTAAAATCAAAGAACTACTAATCATGATATAATTAAAGAAATAAGAGTTGATGTTGCTTTTGGAATAATCCACCAATTGCCTAATTAAAACAAAAAAAAAAAAAGTTTGTTGGGAATTTTTTCTGCTATTCTGCAAAATTACTCCTTCGTTGACTAGAATGAATCATTAAATAGAAAATTTTATGAGAATTAAAACAATGTTATTTTTAAGATTAATATGCAGTCAGAAAGTTTTATAATTATTATTTATTGTAAATTTATCAGAAAAACTCATTATTTTTTGCATTTTTATCGTAATAGAACACTTAAATAGAAATCATAGTAATCATTTCTAAGTAATTTTTGATATTTAAAAAGATTCTACTATTGAAATATCCAGAACTGAATTAATTTTAATGATTTACTTTAACTAAAAAAAAAAAAGTTAATATTTTGAATCCCTCTTGTGGGCAGGTAAAGGGTTAGATTTATAAAAAAAACCAAATGATAGATAAAGACATGCATCTAAATAAAAAAAAATATACTGATTTGGTCATTTTTGATAAAGTTATAACAATTAACAAAGTTATAAGTTTTATACACTGGACTACAAGGAACTTCCATCAGAAACAAAAATATACTATTCTAAATCAACTTTTCGCGATGTTTTAAAATGTGCAATTAGACTTTTTCTATAACTTCTAAGTTTTAATATTATTAAAAAATAGTTTTTACATATAAAAAAAAATAATTAAGAACAAAAAAAATTGTTTTAAATTAATACTGATTTGATATGATATTTATTATTAATTTAATATTAATTTGATTATTAATAAGTTAAAAATAAGGAAAATGACATATTTAACCAATTTTGTTAATCGTTTAAAGTTGATTGTTGTAAATGTTTA